ATGGCGGGGAGGGGGGAGCACGACTTGGCGTCAGCCCAATGTGCCCTCCAAAGCGGCCCCCTCCCCCGTACCCGGCTCTTGGGCCGCTCCCGCAGTCCGTCCGCCCTCGGCGACGGCGACGGCGACAGCGACGGCGACGGAGACGCCAGCCGGCCGCCGGCCGCTGCGCGGCTGCCCATGCTGCCGAGGCTACGCAGCGACCCATGACGCGCCATCAGCGCCGCCGCGGCGCCCGCGCCTGCGCCCGCGCTGCCGCCGCCGCCGCTGCCTTTCTTGCCACTGCTGCCTTTCTTAGGGGCGCCGTAGTCATCGTCCGAGTCGCCGCCGTAGGGGCCATAATCGGGCTCCTCTGCCGCACCCTTTGGGGATGGCACAGCCTGCGCCGCCGACGGTGGCGGCGGCGTCAGCGGCGACTGCTCCCGCTGGCGCTGCGCGGGGTGCGCGCGTGGCTGCTGCGGCAGCGGCGTCGCCGGCGCCTTCGGCCCGGGTGAGGGCTGCAGGGCTGCGGGTGCGGCGGCCGCGGTGGCGACGGGCGCGCGCGGATCGCCGCGCTGCTGCGGAAGGAGGACGGGCATGTGTCCTTGAAGCGCCGCGATCGCAAACGCGCCGCTGGCGGCAGAGCCCCGCGCGACCTCCTCACGCCGCAGCGGCGCGGAGCCCTGGCGGCTCGCGGCCGGAGTCAGGCTCGGCAGCGGCGCAGACGCGGCGTCGGCGGGGCCGTCGCGGGGCGTGGCGCGGCGGCTGAGCTGCGACTTTGGGCGGGGGTCGCGGCCGTATTCAAACCCGTCCGGCCCGGAGTCGCTGTCGTCATCGGGCCAGGCCATGCCTGTGACGCTGCCTGAGCGCATGCACGTCGCAAGAACAAACATGGCGCAGCGCATTTAGGGACGTGAGGACTGGGTGCCCGACCCCGCGATGTGTTCACGTGCGTGGCATCGAGCTGCACAGGGCCCCGTGCTCTGCTGCCTGCCTGGCAAGCGCGCCGCACTGCACGCACACGCACAACCCCAACCGCGCTCTTCAGCCTCTGATCACGCTCAAACTTGAGTAACGGGCCAGCCATTGGGGCCATCTAGCCAGCCGCTGCCCGTTCTTTGCGTTTTCTGCAGTAACTGCCGCACCGGGCCCAGAGGCCACGCAGCAGGATCAAAGATGTACACGAAACTATTAATCATTACTTTTGTGACTGCTGTGGGTGGCTCACCAAGCTCGGGGACGCAGGCTGGAACTCCACAATTTCACGAGACCGTCCTCTACTGGTGCATGGTGCTCTAATACCCAGAACTACGGGCCTGATGACAAGTGTTTCACTCACCCGAAGAGCAGGCTATGGCTGACTAGAGAACACCCACCCTCGCTTGGACACAGCAGTGCCTCTGCGACTGCTGCAAAGGGCCTACGAGGCCTTTGGCGCGGCCCTGCTCAGTCCTTTTTGCAGCGTTGACTTAGAGACGTAGCCTTTGGTCAGCATGGCTCCCAAGGGTGAGGCTCAGTTCCATAGGCCGCCGTCCTGACTCCTGTGTCTGCTCGGCAGGCAGGCTTTCGAGGCGCACCTAGATGGGCGAGAGCACCGGTTTAGTCTGATAGCCGCCAAGGCTGGGCAAGCAGGGCTGCATGCGAGGAGCAGCTGCACCGGGTGCAGCACTGATCGCTGTGCTCTGCTATCGCGCATGCAGGCAAGGACGCGAAGGCTGCGGCCGCGAAGGCCGCGGCGGCCGTGAAGAAGAACTCGTGGGCCAAGACCCGGAAGCCGCGGTACAGCGTGGTGTTCCACCGGCCGAAGACGCTGAAGCGCGTGCGCGACCCCAAGTACACTCGCAAGAGGTGCGGCGGCCTCTGGCGCAACGTATCATGTAGCAGGTTGATGGGGGCAGTGGTGGCACATGTAGTATCAGCAGCGCACAGCGCAAACGTGACGAGCACGCCGGACAGTGAGCTGCAGTGACGGCAGCGGCGACGCAGCCAGCAATGGTGAGCACAGGGAGCCTGTCGGTGGCGGGCACACAGCAGCCTCTGGCAGGCGCAATACATACACACAGAGCCTGGACCACCGTGTGGCGAGTGCGAGATAGCGAGGTCACGACGGCTTTGCCCATGGGCGCGGCGGCTGCGAACGGTGCACAGACACTGGTGGAGCTGGGCAGCTGTGCTAGTGCTCGCTGCAGCAGGCGGCCCCTGTACGTCATCACAGCTGGGAGGGGCACAGGCAAAGCAGTGGCGCAAGTGTGGGCGCTGCGGGAGAGATGCCAGTTCTGGCGTCATGGCCGGCTCTCACGACAGCAGCAGCGGCGGCACCGCCACCACCACCAAATACAGCCCCAGCACCAGCAGCTGCAGTCGCACCTGTGCAGTGTGGCGCTGTGCAAGTTGTTGCTGCAGCTGCAGCGGCAGCAGCAGCCGCTCTGCCAGCTACAGGCCAGCGCACGAGGCGGGTCGCGCCTCCGCGCATGGCAAAGCCTAGCCGCGTGTGTCAAGCCCGAGTGTTCCATAGCTCACAATTGCGTGGCACCCTCTACATCCCGTCCGCCCTCTTTGCCCGCACTGCAGCGCCGCGGGCCTGCAGAAGCTGGACCACTACGCGGTCCTCAAGTCGCCGCTCACCACTGAGTCGGCCATGAAGAAGATCGAGGACAACAACACCCTGGTGCGGGACGCATGCCTTTCGTCAGGGGTGTCGGCATGTGCGAGTGCGTGACTGCGTGCACATGTGCGCACGAAAGCGCGGGGTGCACGTGTGAGGCTTGACACAAAGCGGAGGCACTGCTCGCCTTGGCGGTCTGCCTTTTTGTATGTTGCAGGCGCGCTGGGCAGGGACAGCCTGTGTCCAGCGGGGCGTGAGGCGGTGCCTGGACTCCAGCCGGCGGGCTGCCGCGGCTGGACGCGCGGCGTGGCGGGCCCCGGCCCAGGCAGCACAGACACATGGCGAGGGGCATCCAGTGACGCGCCGAGCGGCGACCATGTTTGGTCGTCCTTGCCCGGGCCTCGAGTGGACCGCACCGGAGCCCCGCGTGACAGCCAGCCCTGCCCCTGGTGTGCCCGCAGGTCTTCCTGGTGGACGTGCGCGCGGGCAAGCGCGAGATCAAGGCGGCGGTGCAGCGGATGTACGACATCCAGACCAAGAAGATCAACACCCTCATCAGGTAGGAGCTGGTGCCGCTGTGGCAGCAGGGCGGGCTGGCTGCAGGGTCGTGTGTGGAAGCGCGTCTGTAGGTTGTGTCCTGGGAGTTGCGGATGCTGCGCGACTCAGGGCCAGCGTGGCGAGGGATGGTGCTGCGGCGTAGGTGCCGCGGCGTAGGTGCACGACTTCTGGCGCAGCAAAAGGTCGCATCTGTTCCCTCTTTTGGGTGCGTTTGTCAACCACCGCCAAAACTGCTCCCACGCCAATCATCAGGCCCGACGGCCAGAAGAAGGCGTACGTGCGGCTGACCCCCGACTACGACGCCCTCGACGTGGCCAACAAGATCGGCATCATTTAGATGTGCAGGGCCCGGGCTGTTGTGTGGTGTTGGTCCTCTTCTGTAATCGCCCCACACGCAAAGGGCTGCAGGCTGGATCTGCTGAGGTTGGACAGGCGCGCATTTGCAGGCCACGCACACGAATGGATGACAGGGAAGCAGAAGCAGCAGGAGATGATGGGCAGAATAAAAGGGCAAAATCAAACGCCACATGTAGCCTCACAGCTGGAGCAAGCAACACCGCACGCGAAATATGGCGCGAGGGTGACTGCGAGGCACCAGCCGACAGGCCGTCTGGTGGTCGGCGCCAGCTTCCCATCCCTGACAAACATACCACAGGCCCAGCTGACCGTGAATGGCGTACATATACGTCATAGTGTACCTTCAGTGGCCTGAACATATCAGCGGCCCGCTAGTTGGACCGGGCGTTTCGTCCACAGTCAGATCATTGCCTGTTGGTCGGCCGGCCGAGTTGTTTTCTGTTCCTTCAATTTATTCTGCGTTGTGTGGCGCAGTGCGCTTAGAGGCACTGTTAGCGCCTTCGCAATCACCAGCACCCGTCGCCTAGTTCAACACGCGGGATGCAGGGCCCAAGCCAGCGCATGAGGGTCTCCCATTCGAGGGTTTCTCCTTCCCTCGCTCAGCGCACGCTGTGGTTGCCGGCGCGCTCAGCGGCAAGCGACGCTGTGCCACTCGGCCGAGCAGCCCAGGAGCCTCCTGGGCTCCTTTCGTACGACCCAGACCTCCAGGTGGGGCGCATGCAGCATCAGTGCTCTGCGCATGCGATCTTTTAATCGTGCGGCTGCAGCTGCAGCTGTCATTCAGCCAGAAACCCAAGCCCAGCTTAGCCTGGCAGCACTGGGTCAGATCAAGGAGCCCAGCACTGCCCACCATTGCGACGTCCCCTGCGGTCGCTGCAACCACCCCTCAGGCCCTCCCCCCACAATGTGTTTTGACACTCATTACGTTGCATTACATCACGCTGTTCCAGCAGCGAGGGGAGAAACCCTGGCTCCCCAAAGGGGTAACGCGCCGTAAAGGCCAGAGGAATAAGCGGGTGCGGCCAAGTCGGGAATTAGTAAGAGGGCGCACGCCTCCTTGGGAGGAGAGATAAGCAAGCCTTCTTCCAAGCGAGGCGGTTTGACACTCACTTACCATAACACACACTATCCCTCGGCACGCGGCAGGACTCTATGGGTTTTGCCACCGCGCCACCGAACGCC